CCCCCCCACACACCCCCTTCACAACACCCTCACAAAACCCACACCCCCACACCTGTCCACAAACCCCAAACCCATGCCCCTACACCTTCACAAATCCCCCCACAACCTCCAATACACATCCACACCCCTTCACAAACCCCACACCCATCAAAACCCCACACCCCCCCACAAATCCCACACCCCTTCACAACTTCCCCACAAATTCCATACCCATCCACAAACCTACATCCCCCCCCACACCTTCACAAATCCCTCCATGCACACACATACCCTACACCCACCCTCCAACCATACAAAGTATCTGCATATATTTCTAAAGAAGGTTCAAATAATGTTATATTTAATCTGTAATAAAAAATAAAAAAAAATTAATTGTGAGTTTTCCTACACATAATTTTGAGTTTTTCTGTGCATCTTTCCCAGGGGTGTAACTAACTTAGCTCCTGAAACAGTTTCTACTCAAGCTAGCTGTTGGTAACTCAAGTGATCCCACTTTGTGCTCCCTGCTTCACAAGTTCACTCCACTCACACATCAAAATAGGTTCCCATCATTTCAGTTCAAGCAAAGTTTCAATGAAAGCCAAAGCTTGATTTAAAAATCACAACTTCATTCTATTCAACAACCAGATTTCCCAGTATATTAATAGTGACACAAAGCTTCAAAGGCAGCCAGAAAGATGTAAGCAATAGACTTCACCACTGAAGAACATGTTAGCAGCCATATTAGATGTTGGGATTCACTTTTCTGATGGATGGTCAAACAAAACGATTTCCCTCTTTCCTCTCCCCCACTTCCTTCCAAAAACAATCAAACTTGTCACCATATTTTAAGGCAAAGTGACCTTTACCAGAACTGGCAAAACTCAGATTCAGGTGTTCCACATTAATTATTCCATCTAAGGGCAGAAAAGGCAGCAACTTTAAGCTACAGCTGAAAATTTCTTATTGCACTTTCTGTTGGTTGTTCCTATTTCATACTACACTACTTCAGTGGAAAGCAATTCATTTTCCCTCTTCCCAACTCCCCCACAACACACACAGACAGAATGGGTTATAATGATTTGCCCATCAACCCATAAATTTAAACAGAATTGAGCTGCTATTTGAGAATGATTAGTTCCACTGATATATCTGCATGCTTGCCAAACCTCAAAGCCTCTAAAGTTAAAAAGAAAACTTTTAGGAAACTTTCCTGTAGCATCAAACTTAACCAAACAAGTATAGTTAAGCCTGTGTACATAGCTGATTTTTTCCTGTGATCAAACTGAAAAAGTGACAATAAAAAAAAATTCCAATATACTGGGAAATCCGGTTGTGGAATAGAATGAATTAGTGATTTTTAAACCTGAAATAGTCTTTTCTGTATGAATATGAATTTTCATTTCTACCTGGGAGATATTTTACAATCTTTGCACTCTCCTATGCCTGAGGAAGGATGTATGTACCCGAAAGCTTGACAATAAAGCCTTTTTTGCACCTATCCAGTTGGTCTAATAAACAATATCACCTCCCCAAGAGTTCTGATTACTTTTGCCTGCAGATCAACATGGCTGCAACCTGTCCCAGTCTTTTCTTTCAACTTTTCTTAATAAAACCAAGCGGACTGAAAAAAAAAAGTTTCAAGTAAAACAAAATGTTTTTTCTTTGGACAAAATAAATACAGAGATAAATTCACAACCCCCCCTTTTCCCTGTAATTCTGATACTCATCCAGATGGTGAGTGTGGGTTTAGCTACTTCCTTTGCCTGAGTGGGCTTGAATCCACACCTTTGCCAACTTGAAAAAAAAAGTGCCCCAACAACCAGACTGCCTAGTATTCTGGAGTGGAGTTTTATTCTCCACTGAAGCTATTTCACTTACCTACTTAATTAAACACTGAGCCAGACAGAGAGAGAGTTAGGGCATCTTCCTTGGACATAGGACATGTGTATTCAATTTTCTTGAGTCAGAAGATGTGAATCTAGGTCTTCCACATTCTGAGCAAGTGCCCTAACTACTGAGATATTAGTTTAAAACAGATCCACCACCTCCTCCTCTTGCATTGTACCACAAGTCCTTTGTTCCTTTGCTTTGATTACAAATGCCCAAACACAACACATTTCAGAAACATTGAAACAATTTTATTTTTTTTAAAAACATTTTCTTTTGGACTGAAACTTTTCATCAAGTTTAACCTCAGTTTGTTAAGTTTCAGCTATCCAAATATTATACTCTTGGTGAATAAATAATTCACAGGAAAAAAATGCAATAGCTCTTCTTTTGACATAGATTACACACATGAACAGTGTGCATCCCCGGCAGCTGAGGGGGCACAGTGGCAATGGGAGCGCGGTGGCAGTAAGCAAGAGAGCTCTCGCAGATGCCTCCGGTACTGTCAGCAGTGGGGGAGGGGGATGGTGAGCACCAACCAAGGGTCGGCAACCACCCACAGCTGCCAACAGTACAGGAGGCATCTGCGGGAGCTCCCCCGCTTACTGCCACTGCGCTGCTTTTGCAACCACCCACAGCTGCTGCCAGCAACGTTGGCCAGTGGGGATCGCGGACCACCCACAGACACCGCCGGCCATGTCAGTGGTGGGGTGGCAAGCAGCAACCACTTGCAGGCAGCACCCTCAGTGTCGCAGCACCTTTTTGCAGGGGTACACCGTGACACTCAGGGGGTATGCATGCACCTGAGTGCACCCCCTACACATCACCTATTATTACACATGTTACTTTGTGCTGGACTTTCTGTTTTTCCATACATGTATTTCCAGTCTGAATAATTTTTATTTTGGATTAAAGAGTAATAAACAATTCTTCTCTCCCCCAGAAAAATTATTGAAAAATAAGACAGTCTTTTTTTCTCATAGAGCTCTGCTATAGAAGCTGCAGCACTTTGAGAACAAAGTAATATCAACTCAATCATGTATAAGCTCTTACAACAATAGAACTTTATAGAGACAACATTCCCATTTAAAAAATGGGGAAACTGAGCCACAAAGTGATGAACTGAATGGCCAAGGTCACCCAACAAACCAACAGTAGAGCCAAAGATAAAACTCAAGTCTCTCAAGTCCAAGTCAATGCTCTGTCTTCTGCCTACAGGCAGTTTTTAGAAATTTGAGTTGTAATACACAAAAAGGCAAAGACACTATTAACCTCATAGCTGTGTATGCCAAAGGGTTGCCTGCCTTTGCTAAGTAGCAGGACACTGGTGCCGCAATCTGCCTCCCAGTTTTCAGTTCATGTCTTCCATCTTTGTCCCTGAACTGGTTTGGTACAATCCTTGTCAAAGCAGGCTCCTATTTCAGATGTGGACAAACTAAAACCAAATGTGCCAAAATGGTAGATACAAAGTAACTAGCAAACTTTCTACTGGTGGATTAGGAGTTGTTTATATGATGACACATTTAATATGTGCAACTACATGTTTTAAGTGTGAAAATTTGCTTCTTAAGCCTCCCCATTGTCCCTAAAAATGAGGTTTTGGTTTTGGCTTTCTAATTGTGGCAGTCAGTACTCATAGAACCTGATTTTCATTTATGCCAAGGCCCTTTTACAGCACCCTGAAAGAGCAAGAAAAAGAGATAGCGAAATGGATGTAAACTATATTTATGTCCTTTTAAAGTTCCTGTATGCTGCCAAAGGATTGTGAAAGAGTCTCAGTGTCCGCGCCTACGTGCAGTAGTGTTCCATGGCAGAAAGCATGATGCAATGCTACTGTGCAATAGTCTTGAGCTACCGCACAGTCAGCATCACAAAACAGCCATTTGGCAGCGATATTGCACAGTAACTCTGGTTACTGCACAGTCATTTAGTACTTGCAGTACTTACATAAGTACTAAATGACTGCACAATAATGACTGTGCAGTCAGCGCCTCATGTAGACGCAGCCAGTGTTAACGGAAAGCATGCTTACCAAGTACTGATATACAATAGAATATGCACCTGTGAGATATATATGCTTTCCAATCGAGACATATATAGGGCTATGTCCCCTTTTTTACTAATGCCAACTTCCACTGTGATACACTATAAAGATACCTGAAAGTAGGCATCATTAGCTCACTATTCAAGGTCCTTCTGTACTGCCAGAGTGGTGTAAAAGGGCCTAGTGAGAATCAGGTCTGCAGTGAATACATAAAACAGGCAGAGGTGGACCTAGGGGAGGTGCTGTGGTACAGTTGCATTCCCCTCCCCTCCTCTTTTATTCTTGTTCTGCCCAAATATAAAAAAACCCATCTGCCTGGCAATGGCAGTGGCATTTCTATTCAGGCAACACTGAGGGATTCAGTAGAATTCATGGTTCATTGTAATCTACTTGATTCCTGTGAATCTCGCTTTGCTTCACAGATGTTAATGATCTTCTCTTCTTTTTACTGGTCTTCATGTTTCAGTATTCAAATTATCCTTTCTTTGCCAATTTTGCTTTTTGTTAGCCATTCCTGGTAATGCCTCTTTTCTATTGCACAGACTTGCAGACTGTTTTTAACTCTAGCTAAAAACTTTAACTCAAGTATGGTAATATTAACTCACGTGTAGAAATGACTGACAGTGAAGTATTAGAGGCACTGGCAAGACAATCAGGAAGGCTATATTTTGTTTTATAAATCTGAATGAAAGATGTACATTTAACTATAATGACTACAGGATTAATGAAATGCTATCTCCAGACTATGGATGCTTACACAAATTACATTTTTTTTTGCATGATCAGGCCCCTAAAAGTGCTCTACAGCCATGACATAACACATGTGCACAACTGCAGAGCACTTTTAAAGTGGCCAATTGTGTGAAAAATTAACCCTTGTCAAAGCAGTTATTAGGTGAAGATGCTACAGAACAGAAAGACTTAGGGAACACACTTTTGGGGGGGCTGTGAGGTGAGGGGGGCTCCTTTCCCCCAACCCCCATCCAAGCTCCTTAAGAGCAGCTGCAGCAGCTGCTGGCTCAGCTTTGCCATTGCCAGAGCTGGGGGGTGGGGGGGATCTGAGTGAAATGGAGCCCCCTTGCCTTGCAGTTCCCCCCTACTCCCCCCTCCTGGATATTGGGGGGAAGCCAGGGGCAGGCCCATGAGATGAGACAGGGCTCCCTCCCTCCACCTGGGCCTCTTGACAGCGGCAACAGCAGCAGCCAATTCATCTTTGCCCTCCCCCCGCCCCCCCCAGCTCTGGCCAGAGTGGAATAGATCCTTCCTTGTCTCACAGGCCCAGCCTGGCTCCCCCCAATACCCCAGCCAGAGTAGCTGGGGGGCGGAGGCAGTGAGGTGAGGGGGCTTTGTTCCATCCCCCACTCCAGCTCCAATCAGGCAAAGCCCAGCTGGCACTTGCATGCTGCTCCCTTCCACTCCCCAGCCCTCTCCCACTGACAGCCAGAGTTAGGGGGGTGGGGTAGTGAGAGGGGTGGTGCAGCAGCCTCCAAGGAGTGCCCCCACCTGCTGGCCAGGAGGGCCCATGCAGCCAGGCTTGCACCCCACTGAACCAACAGGTAAACATCTATTGGGTCAGGGGGGCTGTAACTCATGGCACCATGTATAAAGTGCCATGAGTTAGAGCGTGGCCCCTAAACATCTGTTGGCAGCCTACGTTTCTCTAGTTTGTTGTGGGTTTTTTTAAACTTTATATATAATCTAGCAAATTAGTGCACATTCTAATACATATATATTTATTTTTGCTTTGATTTTAACTTGAAAAACATAGTGCTAAAGTCCTAGCATATTAGTAAAGCTTCTAGCTTATGTTTAAGTGCAGAACATTGTGTGTTGTTCTATGTGACAATGTGTCACACCATCTGTACCCTCCTTTTCAAAATATTAGATCTGCCCATGAAAAGAGGTAGTATTTCTAAAACCAGTCAGAGGACCTATGCATGCAGGTTGCGATATCATCACATTGAACTTTTTGGGTCTCTAATTTTGTATAATGTGTGTGAAGTTTCTGCCTTTCCTTCCCTGAATAGCTGAGAGAGAATAAATGCCATTATGTACTGCAAAATTTCCTTTGTGTTTGGGCCCCTTCATTCTGTTCATGAGCAAGCACACAAGAGTTGGACCTGATTTTTGGAAGCCTGATCACTAGCTGTGCTATACTACTACCTAAGGGGAATATGTTTATAGTAATTACTCTTGAGTAGCCAAACAAAAAAACCTAGCTGTGTACTGTATTTTCTCCTAGGATATGGGATTGGCCTTCCTCCAAACTCTCCACTGACCTCAAATATATCTGAGCTGATAAGCCAGTACAAGTCCCATGGCTTCATGGATGTGCTACATGACAAGTGGTACAAGGTAGTACCATGTGGAAAAAGGAGTTTTGCTGTCACTGAGGTAAGCAGCGCATTTAGCGGTCACGGAACTGACTGCATCTGATTTTTGCTCTGATTGATTATTATTGAGTTTCATGAATGTTCACAGACATAACAGAGAGAAGCCCCCACCAGGAAGAGCTTATGTTTTAAGCAGAGCAGTAACCTTACAAGCAATGATTAGTACTGCCCGGTGGGACACAGAACAAAGCACAAAGATAACAGCAATAAGGTTATGCAGTTACTTTGTCTGATGATGCTCACATCCAAGGTTTTAGTATTAGATATTAGAGCAGAATGCAGCATTAAATGTTACAGCAAGTGTTTAGCAAAACAACAACCTGGCTCTCTGACAGATGTTTTATAGTTGCAGATGCACATCACTAAATTGGATCTATTTAGTGTACTTGTAGGGTGACTAACAGTAACTAGCACAAGGGATATTGGAGGAAAAAGAACAGAGATAGTGGGAGTCTGGTTTATTAATATAACTGTGCCTGTAACTCAGAGAATAATACTTTCTATAAGGAAAACAAAAGTACCAATTAATTATTCATACCTACAATGGACTGGAACTTTTGAAAAAAAGAAGAAGTTTTATGTTGGTGTTGTAAGAACAAACTGGATGCATAGATATTTTTGCTAAATTTAACGACCAACGTATTTTGAGGCTGCCCTCGCATAAACTGGTATAACTTCACTGAAGCCAACAGAACTAGCCCAGTTCACACCAACTGAGAATACTGTCCATCATTTGTAAAATAAAAGGTCACTTACGTAGACCAGATGGTTTTCTTCTGAACAGCGGTGGTTTTCTTCAGGATTAAAGTTTATCTAGGAAAAATATTCAGATCCTAAAGGAACCTGAAATGCTTTCAGCTTAAACATTTAGGATGTGATTTTGCATTCTATCTGCAAATGCAGTAAACTTCTACAAACTTCATTCCCAGGCATGTGAAGCATGCATTCAGAAGTTTACTATTCTCTCCTCTCACCAGATTCAATCCCCTCAACCAACTCCCATCATTACCTGGGAAAATGGAAGAGTGACCATAATATTCTATGAGAGAGGCTCATTTTCAGGATTTCTACTCCAGTTTTGCAAAGCCAAAAGATTCAGAGAAGCCTCTAAACTCCATGATTCCAACGCTAAAACAGTCAACGTGCTGGAAGATTATCTGTCACTAATCATAAGCATTTTCTAAAGACCAGCCCAAACAACAACCCTAAGGTGAACATCCTCAAGGTTGGGGACGTGTAGCTCTGAATTGTATTAAAGCTTCATGCTTTATTCCTGTCAATGCAAAGCTACTTACATTGTTTTTAATTGAAAAAAATTAATTTTTCCACCATAAACTTCTCCCTGTACTTCTGTGATCTTTAATGTTCACCAAATGATGAACATTTCAGGAAAATACATGCTTTTAAAAATGCTTATTCAAGACCATTTCTGATCCAGCCTCTCTGGAGACTATAACATCCAAAAGAGAAACATTCTTGGGGAGATGCCAATTTTTAATGTACCATATCTGCTCATGACAGCCCATGACCTCTTATTACTTTACATTTTGAAACACTGCTCTGTTGAATTAATGGTGGGCAATGGCTGTTAATTTCTACAAATGCTGTATAACTTAAAAATTGTACAATGCAAGGTACCAACTTGTCATGTCAATACTTTCCTATAAAACAGTGAATTGGCTTGTTAAAGCTTTTGCATTTTAAAGTAGGACAGAAAGGTCACAGATATATTTAGCAAGTATCTTTCGCGGCAGCTCTTTGGAAACCATCTCACAAAAGTGTAGGCCAAAGTTTGTTCTGAATCCAAATATGGAATTCCTTGAAGAACGAGATCATAATGGGAGGAAGCTTCATAAAAATGGCTAAGAGACTCTGTAGTTCTGTGGCTCTCAGCAACACGGGCCTTTTTCTGCATCACCTAGGCTAAAGCTTGAATATAGTAAACCCAAGGAATAGGGAGTTTCAAGTTTCTCCTCACAATTTCTTTAACAATTCTCTTAACAACAAATTTGATTAACTGGATGATCAATTGACTAAATCAAAGAATCCCTAAATTCTGTCAGTCTCCCATTTTCCCCTAGCCGGCTTCCCATTAGAGTCCACTAGGGGGCAGTAATCCACATCACCATGACTCGGGTCTATTCAGACACACTGGTACCTCTGCAAATGGAGTTCAATCTTATTTTTTCCCCATTATTCCACACCTAGTTCATACCTTGCAAAACACAGGACCTAGCTACTCTTCTGATGTACAGTAGCTGGAATATAACTAATGTCCATAAGATCCTCAACTTCATTTTGAAAGCTTGTATGATGGAAGGGTGCAGGATACCCAGGATCTCTTTTAGAAATGCAGTACTAGTGGGCAGCTAGCTTTGACTTTTGAAACAATAGCTGCATAAGGCAAGGACTTCTTAGGGTTATATATTTTATTGAACCAATTATGTAGCTGGGATAGTTAGTTAAACAAGCTTTTGAGCGGAAGACATTCTTAGGTCTCTGATTATAGGAAGCAAGACATAGCAAGTGAAGAAAAGCATAGGGGAAGGGACTGAGAGAAACACTCAGGTGTAGCAGACAATTAGCAGAACTCACCAAGCTCATTATTTAAAGTTATTATATAGACTAGCTTCCATGCATGAAAAAAATGTTGATTACAAGTATTCCCTACTGCCACCCACGGATGTTCTTTACATCCAACCAAAAGAACTCCCAATCCCTCATGATCCCAGCAATTCGAGGATGAATGTTTTAGTCAGGTACAGGCAGAAGCAGAGATTTCACAAGAAATAAAGTTGTATGATCTTCACCATGCCCACCTGCAGCATATTAGATGAATGCGCATGGACTGGAAGTAAATGAAGCACAAAGAACTGCATCATTACCACGAACGTTTTATTCAGCCAGCTCAGTTCCAAGATTTGGCTTTTATCTAGAGAGATGCATCCAAGCCATCAAATTCAGATGCTTGGATGCCAAAATTGTAAACATCATCCAAATTTTAAACATCATCCAAATTTGTCAAACCTGGGATTATGACTCCTGCTGACTTTCAGATCTACTTCCCCTCCACCCCCCAGAAGCAATATTTGAGGTCATTTCTCAGACTTTTGAAATGGTCTCTAAAAACTTGGAATATTTAAGAGTGCCACGGTGCTGCTTAGGGAAGCTGAAGAGAAGACACTCAAATTTCACTGCTCTCTGGGCTTCATTTAAAGGATGACATAAAATAAATATTATTTGATGTCTTTTTTTGTCAAAGAGAAGAGTTTCAGGGAAGCTGTTAAGAGAAGTCGTACTGGTCTTTAATCTTTCCCCAGAAGACATGCATGGATAGAACAAGAGGTTAAAAGCTTAAGCGTATAAATGCCAGAACAGAGACATCTAGTGGCTGTAACATTAAAAGTCGCACAGACTTTTTGGTAAAGAAATACCCTTAACACCCTGCTTTGTACATGCTGCTTGCATTCAATAAGCGGGGAAGAAAAGCAAACAAAGTATTGATGCAGAATGGAGGAAAAGCCAATCTGATATTTGAAGATATCAAGAAAGAATAAACAGGAAAAGCACAACACCATTTTGCAGGCATTCTTCCAGTTATAACCACAATGAAAAATGCGAAGATAAAAAGGGAAAATTGCTCCCCCGCAGCCTCCATTTACACTGTACCATTGTGCTTAATCCAAAGCCCCACTGAAGTTGACTGGAGTCCTTTAACCTTTGTGGGTTGTGGCCCAAATTCTATATGTAATTAGGATCCCCTCATGTAGAAGAGACCTCTGCTCCCTCCTACTGATATCAACCCTATTGGATCACTGGTCCTATGGTAACCAACAGCTCTGACTACAACCATGTGAGGCATGAAGAAATTACAGGATTATCAAAGCATTCATAGTATTCTAATGGCTTGCCAAAAACACAAATGGTACAGATAAAAGGGACAAATATCTTAAAAAATTCTCTCCTATTCAAAAGAATGTGCTTTTTGCGAGCACACAGTTTTGTTGTGCTCACAACTTTCTAGTGTTTCTCTCCTGTGAACAGTTACGTACATATGCGTCACTGGTGTTACTGGAGCTGCAGAGCCAGCTGCTTTTCAGACCCCCTGTAGATTCCTACAGCTTGAGCACAGTGTTCAGGCTTAGCTTTCACCTGCCTCCAAGGATGGGATTCTGCCATGCAGCCACACTGGGGCTAGGCCTGTCACTGCTGCCTCCCTTTATCTGCTAACCTCCCCCGCTAACGCCGCAGCCACAACTGAGTTTGCCACCTATAATAAGCCCTTCTTCTCCAGGAGCCTCTAACTCATGCACTGGTTTAAGTGATTCGAAAACAACTTCTTCAAAGATACAAAGCAAGCAGAGAGACCGGTGAGAGGCACAAACATACTATACTGCTGCTTCTTATGTATGCTGTATCCTTTCCTTGCCTTTTTTTTTTTTGAACACTAAACCCAGATTTCCCTACCCTTGGACCATGTAGATGCGTCTTGTCTGTGCATCTGCCAGAGACTCATTTTCAGTTGCTGCTACCTGCTCTCCTATCTCCTTCTCTAGGTCAAAATCTTTAAAGTTTCAATGTTTTAGTTTTGAATTGGGAAAAATAAATCTTGCTGGCCTCAGAGTAACTAAGCTGAGGCATTACCCAGGTAATAGCTTCCCCATTATTTCCTTAGGGACATTTGGTATTTTCTCTGGCTCCATCTTATCGATCAGAAGGCAGGTAGACACGCACCTTTATAGACTAATTTCATAGATTAACTTATTAGTGACACTGTTGCCTTTCCTGCTTGTTCTCCCCCAATAGCCCCCTCTGATTTAATCCCATGTAGTCCAATAAAGAATATTACTTTACAAACTAAGTCCAACAAAGGATACTTACCTCATGATTTTTGCTTCTAGGGCAATATTAAATAAGCACAGGTGCACATAATATTAATAAAAAAACCCCCATAGACAATTCCCTTATTTTCCAGATAGTAAGGCCTCTTACTTATCATTT